TATAAGTCGGTCTCCTGCTTCATTTCAGTTTCCTAAACCACACAATCCAACTACATGTTTTTCTTTTGTCTTTCCCACTTTGGCATTCCAGTCTCCAATCATAAGCAGCACATCTTGCTTACATGTTCTGTTGATTTCAAATTGGACTTATGATCTTCTTCTGTGTTGGTGGGTGGAGCATACACTTGAATGATCATCATATTAAAGCGTTGTCCATGAAGTCTAATTGATATTATTCAGTCATTGATTTCATTGTAGCCAAGTACTGTTCTTGCTATACCCTTCCTAACTATGAAAGCAACACTGTTTGTTTTTCATGTCCGGGTGACAATAGTAATGTAGTCATTTACACATATTTGATACAACATTTTAGACATGTAATGTTAAAATCCAAGATCTGAAGGAATAATATTATTATTTTCTTTGGGACTTTGCATCTAGCTGGCAAGACATTTGCAGGTTTCTTCTAAGCTAGCTTTCCACAACAAAGTCCAACAATCCCCCAAATCTTCCTCTTCTGTCCCTGTTCAGAATAGAACAAAAAACATGTTGTTGTTCTGGCACTGTTCTATGTTCCTAAAAATAATGAGAAAACTGGAAATCTTGTGTGTTTTAAATATTACAGCTAGTAATGCCAGCTGCCTAGAGCCATAAAATTAATAATTGTATAAGTACATTCATAGACTATGAATTATCATATAGAAAAGATTAAAAAATAAATAAAAGGAATGTTGCATTTAGTGCTTTCAAACTAGTTCATTAGCTAGTAAATTTTATTTGGAAAAGACACAATTGAATAGAAAACGGCTGCAATCATGTCCTTGCTTCACTAGAAATAAGTCCCATAAAAATGAACAAGCTTTATTTAAGTCAGTAGGTATTGAATTACATGATAAAAATATGATCCCAGTAATCACAACATAATGACTTTTCTCATCAGTGAATGGCTCATAGAAGTGAATGAAATTGCAAATGTCTTAGGTTTTCTATATGTAGATAAAATGGTGAGATGCACTAATGGACCATGATTTTTTGCATGAAGTTAGGGGACCTTCAAATTATAATTCCCAGAATTTCTTGCAAATTTCTATCCCATAAATGGGAAATTGCATTCCCTCCTGGGCCCAAGGGGATTGCGTGCTAGAAACGGGTAGGGTCAGAGCAAAAGTAAATGGGAGTCTGAACCATCCTGCGCTCTCTGTCTGTCTTCTGTTCATGCCAATAGACATGACATCCATTAAATTGCAGGTAAATTTGGAAAATCTCCTATTCCAGCACGTTTCACATCTTTTCAACAGACTATGATCCCTTAATCTAGACTCATTGCTGGTTTCTTACTAGGCATGCTTTAAAATCTCTTTTTTTTCTTTCCATTTTCCTTTCCTCTTTTTTTTTTTTAGTTTTTATTTTTGTTTTTATTTTTCTCTCTAGCTTTCATTCTTTGGTCATAGTGTGTCCATCCAACTCCAAGAGGTAAGTATCCTCCTCACTTGTTCTTTCTGCTCTGCTTCTCAACAAGCTTAGTGATTTCTTATGGCCAACACGGCTGTATCCAAAGCCACATCCATTCATGTGGCTTTGGATACAATTAAGGCTTACCTGAAAGCAGGTAAAAAAAGGGGGGGCGAGGTGGCAGACACCCGTGCAATATGTATAAAAAACAGGCAGAGCTTTGATTGCACTGTTGTGACCACCATCAATGTTCCCTCTAATTTCTGACATGGGGAAAAATTGTTTTCTACAACTTTCCCAAAACAAGTACAAACTTGTGTACCATAATACGGGTATACAAGTAAATTGTACATACACATAATAGTGACCGGTTAAAATGTTTCCATATTTTTTAGTTGAAGTATAGAAACTAGAAAGTAGAACAGTATGCTACATACACACTTAAAAGTCATGCTTCCAAGTCATTTTTTACTCCTAGCAACTGTCTCCTGCAGTTTTCACAAGTGGCTTGCCACATACTTCTCTCTAGGGCTAAGAGTGAGGGACTAGCCCAAAGTGATCCACAACTGTGTTGTGACTATCACAGGACTAGAACTTATAACTTTCCTGGTTTCTAGTCTGATGCCTTCACCACTAAACTAAACTAAGTTGGCTCTGCATATATGTGCTTACAGATTATAATATAAACCTGCTAATAACTGATAATTACAATCAATATTTTGTAAGCATTTAAAATTGTTTCTTCTTTGGGGGGATTTGATATTGGGAAGGAGGGAAGGAAGGAAGGAAGGAAGGAAGGAAGGAAGGAAGGAAGGAAGGAAGGAAGGAAGGAAGGA